CTTTTCCTAGAGAAATCGATTTGACCTTGCTTATAAGAGTGTTTCCATTGTAGAAGTTCAAGTGGAGCTAAACATTCAAAAACTCATTATTGTTTCATGTACTTGCACATCATACTACTTTCTATAAAACTCTATTTCGTAGTATTTCAACAAATATTTCAGTTAGGTGAAAAGGAAAACTTTTAAGATATAAAAATTCAGCAAAAATGAAACCTTCAAATACACAAGAATCAATCACATCACAATAATATGTGCAACCTTAAGGCCACCCCTACATTCACGTGGTGCATTCAAGGACACCACATACCTATCTTAAGACTAAACTCTAGAACTGACATAGAACCTTATACTTGGAAGCAAATCCAACCCCTTAGTTTAACAAAAAAATTTGTTAATCAGTAGGTATTCCATTCGAACAATCTAGCGGGCTCAAGTATACTCGTTGGGTCCAGCAAGCAAGGCCCAAGTACTGCCCAGAAGGCCAGAACAGAATGATGCTGGCTGGGCTTCCGAATATCGGACCAATTTCAAATGAGTTCATCCATGAAAGCCCGTTAGTGGGCATAGTATCTGAGGAGGTAAATTAATGGGCTAAATCCAAAATTCTTAACCCCTTTTTTTTTTCATGAACAATTTTTTTTTTTTTTTTTCAAAATTCTAAGTTTTTCTTGTCTATTTGATGATAGAATATACAATGGACAATTTTTCTTATAGAATATAAGGAAATCTTTAATAGTGGAAATCTCAATAATATAACAATAACATAAACAAAATAAAAGATAAGTGAGAGAGAGAGAGAGGAAGATATAATATTACGTGGTTCAAGATAGTGACCCCCTAGTCCATGATACAAAAGCCTCTGTGGGCTTTGCATATTTATTTTTCTTCATTTTTTTCTTATATATAAGTAACTCTATTTATAAGGTGAGAGATATATAATATAAAATAATAATAATTAATTGAAAATCTTTCTATTAATAAGATTACAATCAACATCAAATTCTTGAAACAATCAATCGATAAATTGATTTCTCATGATTTGATCAATCTTCATAATGGCATGATATATTACGATCAAT